TCTGTTGTGTAGGAAGGGAGCCCAGAATAGCAGCCTTCTTACTACCTCCCTCAGGGTGCTTTAACAATTTCTCAAAGGTCAGTAGAAACTAGTTATCAATTAAAGGAGCTCTCTCCCTGTTTTTAATGTATCTTGGAGGTAGTGGAGAAAAAAAGCTTTCAAATGCTTTCAAATCCTGCTACCTCTGTCCTTGGAATACTTTGTGAGGATGTGAGGATCCAAGGCCAGTTGATTTGTTGATCTCATGGGGGTCAACATCAAGGTAGTCCAGACAAGTAGGCTAAGAATGCTGACTTGGTCAGTTTGCTCTGGCAGGAGAAGTATTATAGCATGTATTCATCCAGTAGCCTGCGAAAAAATGAGCATGCTTGTAGAATTAGAAATAGCCAGTCTGGCTCTCAAGCATTTGATCTGCTCCCAAGAACAGTCTCTCTTGTATAATCTGCTTAGTTTATAAATCAGTCAGAAGACAGAATATCCTGATGGCAGGTAACAAATATATTTGTGATATGGATCTGGAAAAAAAATGTCAAGTGGAGGATTTTGAATTTTGCTTTCATTAAAAGATGAAGGAGAGTTTCATTGGGAGGCTTAGTGACAACTTGATATTGTTTAGACAGTGATCTATCTGAAGAAAGATTAATGTTAATTAAAGTGGTGTTGGAGAAATTCAGCGGATGACAGCAGCCAAGCTGGCTACAAGCTATTTTTAGAAAATTTACTTCAATGCATTCGGTATGACTCATTTATTAAGTTAACAGATGAATCAATAGCTCAGCTTTGTATGGCAGTCTCTTAACATGGAACTGTATATAAAGATTGTGTTCATGTCTTTGGTCAGAATTCAAATTATAAAAGCTGACCCCTATGGATTCAGTCCAAGTGAACAAGTGCCTTGCACAAAATGGAATAATACTCCCGTATTACTCTGCAGTAATACTCCAGTGAGACTGTCCCAGCATGGATATATGAGGGGCACAGGGGAAGATCAGCCAGAAGTCCAACTTGCGCTGTTTGCGAAGTTACACAAATAGCAAACAGGTCAGCTTGTTAAAATAATGTAACAGAGTAAATTTATTAATGTAACAATGTAAATTTATTTCTCTTTTAGTTTTGTCATGAATTTACTTTTTGTTTGAGTGGTTTGGGGTTTCTTGCCTCCATTTGAGCACAGTTCTTCTTGGTTTTCAACTTTCCTTTACTTGGATGTCGTTTTCTCTCTTCTCTGATGCTCAGCTTTAATTTGTGAAATAGTAAAGCATCCATCTGTTGCAATACAACTGTGTTGGCCTTAGTTCAGTTTGTTTCCTGTATTTTGCTAATTTCTTAGGTTGCTATAGAAACCTTGTTGTTCTCCCGAATCCTTTTTGTGAACTTTCACAAGCCCAGTCTGAAAAGATAAAAAAGACTACATTTCTATTAGTTTTAAAATCTTCACTAAAATAATTATATTTATTATTTCCTCCTTATTTTTATGGAATTTCTATCTTATCTTTTCTGATCCTTGCCTCAAACACCTTCACCAGTTTAGCCCAGTGTAAGATATGATTTTTCATTATTATTGTGTCAGCTCTAATTTCTACATCTAGGAATAATTTCATTTCTCTTTTGCAAAGAGATTAGGGAATTGGGCTGTCTGTATTACATTCAAGGTATGATACAGAGCTGATAAGATTACTGTCCATCAGAATTTGAATATAAATTCTGGTGTGTTTGAGATTATCTCTCGCAAATACAAGTGAGACATTAAAGGTAACTAGTATCTAAAACAATTTCACTGTTAAATAGTGTGCCTTGCTATAGTGTGAAAATACTGCTGTTTGGGAGAGAAAGGCTTTGCACATCAGGTGAAGTTTAGGGCCATCTTTTCTGTTTACTGGAAGTAGCTGGCTGTGTATTTAGCTTTGCTCTTGGTTGGGTGAGTATTATCAGAGAGAAAATGCCATTTCTGTTGGAGGATGCTGGATGTTGAGTTGTTCAAATGGAGAGCAGTGTAATAAAATCTGTTAAAAAAGTAAAATACGTGAAAGGTGAAGAGTGACTCCGCACAAAATTTGCATCCCTAGTGATCTGAATTCTGGCCATTTTAATGTGTTCTTTGCTGCATTATATTTTAACATTCAAAGCCCATTGTAGTTAAGGTATACTTACTCAGGCTAGCTGCTCCTTTGCTCTTCTGATCACAGTTACTTCTTGAAACTGTGTGACTAAGAATTAATTCTTAATTGTGATTAAGAATGGTACTATAGAATATTCTAAAAAAAAAAAAAAACCACAACTTGCAGCGAGAGGTTTTTCACAACAAAGTGAAAAAATATGCCACCTGCAAGCCCTCTATCATGGTCTCTGTATCATCCTATAGGTGAAATCTCCTGTTTATCATTGTCTGCTCTCCTTTCAGATGTCAGTAATCAAATCAAGGAATTGCACAATGACTAAAAAGCTTCCAGACAGGACACAATTGATGGTTACACTTAAATGCAATTCAGAGAAACACTTGAAATAGAAAGTTTTCCCCAAGCTGGACATATCCATTATTGCATTGATTTTCGATTTACCTTGATTTTGCTGGTTTTTCTTAGCGATCAGCATAATGTTTTTGTTTTTTCCTGTGTGTGCGATGTTGTCCAGTTGCTTACGCTTCAGACTTAACTGGCTGTTGGAGATTTGTAAGAGTGATGTGGTTGTGTTAGCTGCATCCTCCTAGTGTGTGTGGTGCCTTTCAACTTCTGTGAAACTCATGGACAAACTTTATGTACAAAGTGAAATGTCTTTTTTATGTCTTTTGCCAGTTAAATCTGGTACTATAATCTGCTGTGGTGAATCTCTTTCAGAAGTTATAAGACTGACTGAAATCTAATGTTCTGAAATGAAGAAACTATAGACTTCCTTAAAAACTTCATTTCAAATCTGAGACATTGATAAAATTGTATATTAATGTTCTCTGATTCTCTTTCAGCTTCAAATTTGTTATTGTTTATGTTTGTAGACTGGATTTTTAAGATAAAGATGTCAGTGTAGGATTGTAAATAGACTAAGAGATATATAAGCTGAAGCTATCAGTGAGATATCGTTTATTTAAACAGTAACATAATTTTTAATATGTCTTTCTCTTTCAAAAAAGTGGAATTGTGGTAGCTGGCATTTTACTTTTTAAAAGTGGTACCATTTGAGCTGCAACTTGGCAGATTCAGAGTTTCTTAAACTCTTAACACAAAACTTTGTAGAACTATTTGTGTAATGATGCTAATTAATGGTGTGAGTCAGAGAAGTTTACTGAGTCAATTATTTTGAATTTTTTTCTGATATTCCAAGAAAGTTCTAAGTAATTGTGCCAAGGGTGGCCAATAAAGTAATGTGCCAGATGGAATTCCATGTTGCTGGAGTGCTGGCACTAGAGGTTCTGTATTCTCCTTCTGCTACAAGGTAGAAAGTCAGTGATTTTTGGGGTACTCCAAAGTGCAGTCAGGAATGGATCTCAAGCACATAAAAGTTTCTTTCTTATGGATCTCATTCCAGTAGCCCTGGGACTGGTCAGGTGCAATGTCAATGCGCCACCTGAGGCACTGCTCGTCATGGTTTGATGAAGCAATCCTTTGTTGTGATGCTAAAGCCAATTTCTTGTAGCTATCTCTAGAAACACCACTTGAACAAAAGTAATAAAAAATAAAAGTTCATGTTTGTACTTGCACTGGCAAAAAAAGTTTCAGTTCTCTCCAAATTTAAGCTCACTTGATGAATGGCAGCAATGGAATTTGCAGAGGAAATGGGAGAGAGCAATTGCTTCACTCTTTGGCCATGATGAATTTGGATGTAGCCCTGTCTCTACGTTGGAAATGACAGCTGATGTTACCTGGAGCAGTGATGGACTTCAGACTTTTCCTATGCACACTTCATCCTCTGTGTAAAACCTTCAAACAGTTCATTTACAAGAGAAGTATGGAAAGGCAGGACTTAATGGAAAATCTTAATGTATTTTCTGTGTTATTCTCCTCTTCTTTTTTTCACTTGACTAAATAATATTTATAATAATTCCAAGATATAAGAAAATACATCTGTGTAGAAATGCTGAGAATTAGAAACAAAAAATAGGGAGATAATTCAAATGCACATCTGATAGGTGTTTACTGGTTTACAAAAAATAGTTTCTTATGTAACTTCCATTTTTGTTAGGATCCAGAAAATGGATAGTATTGCTGTGTAGAGCCAGCAGGAGGTCATTAGTGTACTTATATTTTTAGGTCTGAATTGTCACCATTGATGAGATTGCTTCATGAAATAAAAGAAACCATGTCTGCATGTCTCTGGGCAAATGTAATATTAACCACCATTTATAGTACGTGCTATTCATACATCTTCAGTATGTGAACTGGTCTTTACCAGGATTTTTGTAGGATTTCAAAAAGTAATTTCAGTGAGTTTCATGTAGGACAAAACCCTCTATTTTTTCTGTGTCAATGCCAGCTATTACTCATCAACCACTTTTTACTACCAATCATTAACTGCAGAAATTTTTCAAATGTGGAGGCTATAGAGTCTGTGTGATTTGTCATGTCTGTACATGCACATTTAGTTAAAAAAAATTCAATTTCTGGAATTGTATTTGGATGCATTTCAGACTGTGTAGCAGCATAGTGAAGTAGCATCAGTCTTCAAACACTTGAACTCATCCATGTGCCTTAGACAATCAAGAAATCATAGAATATGATAATTGCCATTAATATAAAAAAATACCATCCAGATGATGGTAATTTTGCTTGGCTGACTTAATTGTTAAGGTGATGGACACCTTGTTTCTAATATTTATGTTAATCACATATGGATTTTTTTGTTGGATAAAGAAAGGGGTTTTTTCCTTTTGATTTGGGGCTTGCTGGGTTTTACCTCTAAACTGGTAGAAGGAATATTGTGTTTTGGAACAAGTCATAAGACTATAAGACTAACTTACTGTATTTTCTGTTACTGATTTTGAGAACTTTTTTTTTTTCTCCTGATTTCAGGTTGGGTGGGACTATATCTGCATACAAGATAGTGCCAGACGAAATAGAAGAAATCAAGGTACAGTATTACTGTTTTTCAACACTGAATTTCTTTCTTTGGAAAATTACAGAAATGTTACATTAAAAAGCTACGTTATTCCTTGCTTTGAAGTGTATCATAGGAGAGAGAGGAAAGTAAAATTATTAGATCCATATTTATGAATCTAGAATAGAATTTTAATTATTTTTACAAATACAGTTTACCTTCAGCTTAAGCTGATTTCAGCAGGATTTGTTTGATGCAAGAAACCTGTGTAATTCAACCTATTTCTGCTTTGCTACCTGAAGACAGATGGAGGACTATGATGAACACTGAGTTATAGTTTCATAACAAAATATATATAGCGTCCTGCTTTGTGCTTTGAGATCTAAAGCACATCCATATTCTTCAATATTGTCTGTCTTAAGGGGATAGCATGAAGTCAAAAAATTTTTACAAGCTCAAAAAATTGTTATAAACTCTGTTTTTGAGTAGTGATAGCAATAAATACTGAAGTTTGCTTTCAAAGTAATGTGCATTGTAACAAAACTCACTTTAGCCAAGTCCACTCCTGAAACGTGCTTCAGCAATTTGTGTCGGTTTTGTTTTTCAGTGGAATGAAATATGGGTACTGGGAGGGATTTTGGCCTGGATCTGATAGAACAGTTTGTGTAACTGATTCCTCACTTGGTTGTTAGTAAGTCAGTCTGACATATTGCTTGCTCATTGTGACTGCTTAACCCGCTGTACTCTTTCACATATTCTTTTTCAGCTGTGCAAAGAGAATTAAGAATAGTTGTAAAATCTTGTGAAGGGAAGTGACTGTATAATGTCTGATGTAGACATGACTTCACAGTTTGCAAATGGCGAGAATTTATTCTCTTCAATTAGTATCAAACCTACTGCAAGCGACTCACTGCACAGTGACTGCCTGTATCCGCATCAAAGTTATCACACCATTATGATCAAAATTTATTTTTGTCATCTAAGATTCATGGACTCCTCTATCCTGAATTTTATCAAGGAGAACATGATTTATTACTGGATAGATCCACTATTCAGATTTTTCTCTTAGCATAAAAGAAAGAAGGCTTTCAAAATTAAATAGTGGTATTTTCATGATGCTCAGAGAACTGCTCCAAAACTATTTGGAAAATTACAAAAACCCTAAACCACAATCTTTTTACTTTAATACAAGAAAACCATTACCACAGATATTTTGTTAATGTTGAAGATGAAGAAAGCTGATATTTCTGGCTTCATTGTACTAAACTGAGTTCAGTGAACAAAGAAAAATTGTATGTTTGGAGATAAGAAATCATTTTACTTTTAGGAACTTACTGCAAGATTAGTAGTCACAGGAATCTTCACCTGCTTAGGAGAACTGTTCTGAATTTTCAGGTTTTTCTTATTTAGCTGGTGTTTAAGTGCTTGAGATCCTAGGAAGCATCAAAGGATGGGTTTCTCATTAGTCTCAGTTGTGCCAGGATGTAAGTGTGGAAAAGGATTTAATTGTTCAAAGTCAGAGCTATTTAAAGTGTTGGGGAAGAATCCTTCCCTTTACTTGTTTTTAGTACCTGTCCTGTCTTGTTCAGGTAGTGGGGTTTTGGAGGTTGTATCAGAAGTCAGGCCACTTCTCACACCTTAAATGGTTGAATTTCTCAAGCTGCAATGTATGTCATTTATATTAAACAAGGCACTACTGGAAGATGCCAAGACAGACAAATATATATTGGATATCAAAAAATATTATTTCGTCCATATGTATTCTGCATAGCAGCTGGTAAACAGTGAGACAGAGCATCCTTGCAGTAAATGTAGGGGGTAGTTTTAATATCTGAAAGGCTCTCCTAGCTGATTTGAGTAGAAAAAGGAGAGAGAAGAAAATAGAAGGCAAATCACCTTACTGGAATTTTGCTTCTAGAGAGAACAGAATCTTCTTCCATGCACTTTTGCCTCACAACTATCTCTCCCCTATTTAAACATGAAATATTGAGGAAGTTAATTTGATGAAATATGCAAAAATAATAGCTTCACTTTTAAAATCCGATTTAACTTGATGGATTGTTGAATTATATTTATGTGAGTTGTATTTTTATGTTTTCTGATAATCCTTAAAAAGTAAACTGCTTACTTAAATGAGAAAGGAGAAACTTCATCAGACAGAGAGCAGTAGTTATTTTGACAGATAAACAAGTCTTTTAGCATTTGCATGTGTTCTAGGAAAGGTGGCAGGTTAACCTCTTTTGCAGATCAAAATAATTTATGAGGAAAACCAGTGTATTGATTTTGTTCATTCATGCAATTACATCTTAGGTAGAACACTGTTGCAGGCATATGAATGAGGAGTACTTATGGCAGAAGTGGTAACATGTACCCTAACTAGTCTCATGCACCATACCAAGGTTAGGAAGGATTGTGTGGAACCAATCACCACTGCAGTTCCACAGCATCTGTATCAGTCTGAAACAAAGTGTCTTGAAACCTACCTTCCCTAGATTTTTGTCACAGCTACTTAGGTTCCCAAAGTGAGAACACTCAACAGGTAGCCTTACCTAGATACCATCTCAGGTTTCCCCCCCCCGAAAACTCTTCTAGAAGGTAGGTATGTCGTCTATCACATGATCTTCTACTTCAATAAAAGAAGTTTTCAGAGAATGCATAAATGGATATACTACCATCTGCATTCCTGTCATTTCTCCACACCAGTTAAAGCAATGTCACTTCATTTTCAGTACCTGCTGGTTTTAAAATTCTTCCAGAACTGAGGAAGACAGTAAATATAGAAACTGCAGCACATTCCTGAGAAGTGTCATTGTTTCAACTTCCTCTAGACTTCTATTCTCATCACAATATTCATCCTGTAAGCAAGAAGCTTTTCAAACTATCAAAAAAGCATTGTCAGATTTCAGCTTTGTTCCTCACCCACTGTAATAGTATGTGCCTAAAGGAGAGGTCTTCCAAATCAAATGATTTTGTGTACATGGGGCCTGGCAAGCCTATCAGGCACCACCAGTTTTGATGAGCAACATAAAGACTGTCTCAAGAGTAAAGAGCAATTTATTTATGGCTATTACAGATTAGGGAAAGTTTGCATGACGTGCCTATAGATTTATGTCAACATAATTACTGATTAAGTATCATCTTATGATCTATAGTACCATGAGACATGGGCTTTTTTATTTCCACATTCTACCATTACAAAGGAATATATGATGTGGTGAAGGGTGATTATAGAAGAAGACTCAGTGAATTAAAAAAAACACTCCTTAACAGATTCCTAATAAAAAAATACTTAGTTTGCTAGGATTTGCAAGTCAAGAGCAGAAAGAAATTTAATTGTTTTGTGTTGATTTTTTTATGTGCTTTCGTATATATTTTTCATGCAGACATATGCATGCATCTCATCTCAAGACCAGAAATGGATTTTGTAGCAGGTCCTTAATTCATGAAAGTAATATGCACAAGAAAGATATTGCCAGAACATTTCATTCCTATAATATTTGTGGCATGAGACAGATAATCCAGTGTAGAGAATAAAGTTTTAAGTGGTTGCCTCCTGTGGTATTTAGTTTTAAGAGATCTTGTTAGAAATATTTTGTTAGTGCTGGTTATAAATTGTAAATTTAGATGTAAAGCAGTTCTGGAGCAAGATGGGAGAGGGTTTTTAATTCCATTAATTACCCTTTCACACAGAGACACACTTTATGCTCCTCAAGGAATGCTCATAATTCTTCTGTAGATACTATTTTAATGAAAACATATATGCATAAAGTAGTAAATATTGCATTTAGGACTACAGACATTTTTCCTTGAATAATGGTAGGATAGCTCTCTTTTTTTCTTTAGGAGTATGTGTTAACTTAATAGTTTAATAATGAAAATTTTTATGCACAGCTGAAACACATTCTTCTCAGATTGTCTTCAGTCTTTGAGAACATAAATTCCAGTGATGATAATCCAAGAGTAAAAAAACATAAAAGCCATGAGGGAGAGTGAAGTAGCCAGAAAGGACATGGTGAGTGCTGCGTCTTCTTGAGAGGTCAGTTGCCCTATATGACTTAGGAATTCAAAAGATTTAACTTTTCCACACAGTCAGTCATTTTAGGAACATCTTAGAAACAAAGGAAGTTGATTTCAGTGTCAGTGAGATGTTTTGCAGAACAAAGCTGTACTCCCTGCTATCAAAAATAGGCAGCTTTGATATGGTTACAATTAAAATCAGTCTATTCCAAGACTTTCTCAGAAATCATTTGATTTGCCAGCTTTGTGGTGTCATATACCTACATCATGTTGTATCCCAGAATCTGTTTTTTTTGCTGATAAGAGTAGCTGATGAAACTCATGCAAACTTTGTGTGCAGCCAAGAAATGCTGGCCTTGATCATGATCAAAGCATTTTCATAATTATTGACATGTGGCAAAAATAAGTAGCAATTTGTCAGCAACTGCCAGTTTGTAGTCCCATTTAAAAAAAAAGCACAAGAGAAAGGTAGTTGTAACTACTGTGGTGGATAGTCCACAAGAACAGGGTTATGCCTGAAAATATTTAGATGTCACAAAAGGGGTTTTGTGTCTGCTTACTGGAGAGTGGGGCAGTATTTAAATATCTTTTGCATCTTCTGCAGAATTAGCCTTGCTTTACATGAGCAAGGATGTGTGCTGTTATCCCAGTTTTGCATAGGAGGTTAAGTCCTGGATCTGGTTTGCTTCATCACTGTGCCAAGTGTATCAGCACTGGCCAAGTGTTTCACAAAAAGTTTCTCCAGAGTTTATGATGGGAGGCATCAAAATTTGATGATAATACTTGAGATTATTGCTCCTTTATCTGTTTGGATCCAGCACAAAGCAAAAGGTTTGCCCACTCAGAATAAGTTTTTTGAAGAGGCTCAAGCTGTTTGAAGTATGTACTCCCACTAATCCTAAAGCACAAGAAAATTTGCTATTTACCTTGCAGGAATGACAATTCTGGTTCTCAGTTTTTCTGCCCATGTTTTCCTTCTTCTGCATCTCAAATTATAATTACTAACTCACAGCACA